TGTATTTTAAGAGAGACTTTACCTGAGGGGATCATAAAGAATGGTTATTTTTAAAAGAAAAGAAAAATAGATGTAAACAAATTACGGAGATAGGGCGCGCAAATGAAGAAAGATTATACCTAAGGTGTCGAATAAAGATAAAATAAATTTATTATTTCTACCTATTTTAAAACTCTTACGTATATAGGACGCTGAAAGTAAAAGCCTAAGGCCCAAAAGCCCTTCGCATGAGCTAGCTTAAAGTCCTCCAAAGGGCGGTTTCTAGGCCAGTTTTAGAATATAACAATTAAAAAAAAAACAACTACATAAAGCATAATTACCAGATTTAAGGTATTTACTTGACAACATATATGTAAACACGGATATTTAATCATTATTCTGTTAAAATAAGATATATCTCATTTTACTTCATTAGTACAGTGTAACCCGGATATAAGAGACCCGGATATAAGAGAAATCCGGATATAAGAGAGGTTTTATCTGATGCCAAATTAGAGCCTGTGTTAATGTATACATATAGACCAAACCCGGATATAAGAGAAACCCGGATATAAGAGAAACCCGGATATAAGAGATTCGTATCCGGTCCCTACAACTCTCTTATATCCGGGTTACACTGTATTCTGTAAAAGGCAGGCTTTAAGGTCAGGGTCAATAGACAAAAGGGTTAAAGCAGAGGTTCACGAATTTTGTTGTCTATTAATTGTGGTTCCATTCCTAAGTCCTCTAGTAAAGTTAGACTCTTTGGCAAAGAAAGAGCACTAAGAACTGCTAAAAGATTTGCAGACCGAGATGTCCCTCTAAACATAAATAGCAGACCGAGAAAAAACAATGTAAGTAAATTGAATACAAGTTCAGGTGGTAATTCAATGAAGGTTATCATGAACTTGAGATGCCACAAGGACACAAGGTTCGAAAAGAATACTCCAAATGTGCATAATTTGAACAATGAAGAATCATCAGGAAATACTGAATTAAATTGTAATTCTCTTATAATTCTCTTTTTTCTAATAGTGAAAATAGTTTAACAAAACTGTCTATATTTCTGAGATGAGGTTCCAGATTTGTACTGGTTTAGATTTGCAGTGATCCACCCACTTGGGAGTCACTACCACAGAGCAGTGGTTCGTGGGAAGAAGCTGTTCGAGTGGAACTTATTTTTCAAAGATGAAATACGGATGGAATGTGGGTGGTCTAATTTTGTGGACTGGCGCTACAGAATCATAAGAAATATAATAATCAACAAAAACCACATCACTTGAGGACTTTCAACAGCGGCAACAACTAAAATGGTTATCACTTGTGATTCAAAGAGAAAATAATGATATAATCAAGATTCTGATATTCCGCACTACGCAGAACAAAAGGTTAGGAAGGAAACTTCAGAATCTATTCATATTTCTGTAAGGCTTCAAGAACACAAAAAGCTGTAACATGAGGGGAAGTGAAAAAATCCGATGTGGCTGACCGCATCTAGAGAGAAAAGAGAGATAACGTCCCGCTGTGGGATCAGGATGAAATCATAGACAAAGAACTTCATTCGTAAACTTAAGGAATCATCACATATAAAAGGCCAGAAAACTAGCCGACGAAGCATAGAAATAAATACAATATAAGAACCAGTAATAAGGAGTGCCAGAGAAAAGCAATAATAACAACGAAATTAGCAATAAGAGCTCGCGTAAGAAAAAATGCAATGATAACAGCAAAGATTGCAATATGAGCACTAATAAAAATGGTTTCTGAAGTGTATAAGTCCCAGAAATTCATACACAGATGCCCTTAAGAAGACATTGCACAGTGGATAAAGGTGTTGGTCAGATTCAATGACAGTACCCAAAGAGTTATGAGTTCAATACCTGTTTAAAACAGTTGAGAACTTGGAGAGGTGAATTAAGAGGAGATAACTGATAACTGGCATCCATTAGACATGGAACAAGAACAGTCTACTCCAGCGAGCGAAATAAAGGGTTCAGTTCCTATTCCAAACATGGCCGAAACGTTGTGATTGCAACATAGATGAGGATAATAGTCCGAATAATGTAAATAGTTTATCAAATATTTGTTAATACCAGACGAGCATTAATTTTGATTAACTTCCTTTAATCGGTAAAATGCTTACGAGATTGTAATGATAACAGTAATATTAGCTGTTTCCTCATAAGGAAATATTTGGCATTCATTGACCGAGCAGTCATTAATATTGTTGGCTGTAATTTATAGAATATATCTCTTGAAACAATTTTTAGGAACATAAGTTATCTGAAGTCCAGTAGGTGTTATCGCTCTTTCCAGTATTGATGGGGGTTTTCTTCCTAACCTTTTGTTCGAAGTAGTGCGGAAAGTCAGCATCTTAATTATATTATTATTTTCTCTTTGAGTCACAAGTGATAACCATTTTACTTGTTGCTGCTGTTGAACGTCCTCAACTGATGTGGTTTTCTTGTTTATTAAAGTTATTTGTTCATGATTCTGTAGCGCCAGTCCACAAAGTAAGACCACCCACATTCCATCCGTATTCCATCGTTGAAAAATAACTTCTATTCGAACAGCTTCTTCGCACGAACCATTGCTCCGTGGAACCAACTCCTAAGTGGGTGCTTCCCCGATCACTGCAAATCTAAACCTGTTAAAATCTAGGGGAGGCCATTGTCCGTATAAACTGTCTCTTAACCGGCAATCTCGAGTGTCCACTCCGGACATTGTACAGGGTAAAACTTACTGCAAAAATATATCGTTTTTTTTACAAAGATCTACAGGTTTTATACACTCCAAAACATTTTTAACCATTGCTCCTACAAAGCTGTTGTATACAACTGACAGTTTAGATATTTCTGAACGGGATTTTAGCCTATGCATGGCATCCATATGAAAAATTTGGGATCCGACGAGGATGTGATGTCTAAAATAAAGTATGTGCTTACATACTGTGAAATACAATTCACAACATCAACTTAAGCAATTTCCGTGCTCGATGATGTTAATCCTGTATAGGTGCAAAATAATAATAAGGTTCAATTCTCTTCATTGCAGTTGAGAAAGATTTTCTGTTTTGTCAATTCAGCTGGCGAAATGAGATTGCAACCATTACTGCTGGAAAGAAATATACAAACTAATAAGTAATTAGCATACAGCTATGTATATATGGGTTCACACACTTTTACATTTTATACAAGGCAACCAAAAAGTTCTGTCCGTTTTCAAAGGAAAAAAGAAAACGCTTCATAGTATGTGTAACTTATATTTAGTCTTCGAAGTAATCGCCATCGGCATCCAGCCCCTTCTGCCAAAGTTCAATGCCCTTGCGGTAGAACTCGGTGGAGTTTTGACGCAAAGAAGTCCGTGAGGGCTTTGCGCAAGTCTGTGTCATAGGTGAAGGATTTCCCATGAAGATGATTATCCAGGGAGTGGAAGAGGTGGTAATCTGATGTCGCAAGGTCAGGTGAATAAGGTGGATGGCACAAAGTCTCCCACTCAAGTTGCTGTATATTATCCCTGACCACTCGCGCGACAAGCGGCTTGGCGTTGTCATGGAGGAAAAGCACACCTTTGCGATTCACCAGTGCTGGATCCTTCTGGCGCAATGCCTGTTGCACACGTTTCAACTGCTGCGAGTATAGGTCTCCAGTGACCGTTTTGCCCGTTGGTAACAGTTCATAATGAACCACTAGACGACCTGTCCACCAGACACAAAGCATAATCTTGCGTGGGTGCATAGGCGGTCTTGCGGTGTGAGGGACAGCATCCTGGGGAGACAACCAATGTCTGGAACGCTTTTGAGTTTCGTACTGAACCAACTTTCAATCACTGGTAAGCACTCGATTGAATAAGGATGCGGTACGGTGGCGAGAAAGCAGCGATACGCAGGCTGCCACTCGTTGTCCCTTGTGGACCTCCAACAGCGTTTGCGGAACCCACTTGCTCAGTTTGTACGTCTTACCTAGGCGGTGCGGGTGAAGTCTAACTGTTTCATCGGAAACGTTGAACTGTCTTGCAAGTTCACCACACGTTAGACTACTGTCCTCTTCAATGGCCGACTTCAGGACTCCGTCATTCAAGACCTGTGGTCGTCCACTGCGAGGCTTATCATGGAGAAACAAATCTCCCAATTTGAATTTTCGAAACCAACGCCTTGCAGTACGTTCATCCACAGCACTATCCCCAAACGCTTGACATATGCGGAGACTTGATGCAGTTGCTGATAAGCCCACTTTGAAGTCGTAAAGCAAACAGCCCCAAATGAGATCTCTAGACACTTCCATCCATCTCACAGCTGTCCGGCTTATAACTGATCGCCGGGCACGGTGCGAGTTTTTTTTTTTTTTATAACGTCTGATGTTCCTACTTCCGGCTGTCCGAATTTGAAAACAATTGCCACACGCCTTTAGTATATGTTTCAAATTCATTCAATGACTAATCAAAAAACGGACAGAACATTTTTGGTTACCTTGTAATTTAGTTATTTATTTACTTACCTTAACATTTTCAACTCCGGGAGGGCTTACGTCCATAGTGTTCCCGTACGATGACCGAAATTGAGCAATGACAAGCCTGATTGGTACCTAGATAGGTGACGGCTTGGCGATGTCAGGTGCAGTAAACCTGGATGTACGGTTGGTGTTATGGAATTACAGATCGGAATTTGTAATCGGAGAGCGAAGTTACAATCCCAGTTGAGTTCGTTATATACAATTATGCGTATATACCCCTCAGCAACGTATTGATCGATTGTTTTCTACAGCGTATCAGACTTTTTAAGGTTATTTAAAGGCATACAATATGTATTTTTAGATTTTAATCTTTGTTTTAAATAATAGTAATTTAAAGATACAACTTTTACTAATTAATCCATAGCGGGAGAGAAGAAGTAGAATCGTATCTTTCCCAATTGTATTTGCACGAAAGTTAGTAAAAGGAACCCGACTAGGTTTAGAACTCGACTCTCTGATTAAAAAAAATCGAGCTATTAACCTTCATACAAACAGCATATGCAAGCTCAGAGCACGTGGTATTCCCAAGCGGTCACCCGACATTGATCAGGCTCGACGATGCTTAACTTCAGTGCTCGTACGGGGACCGATGTTTCAACGTGATATGGCCGTAAGCCGAGAAAGCCATGAATGGGCATTATGAGTTAATGCGTATGACTTGTATCTGTAAATCATTATTATCTCAATAAAATCTTACAATCTAAAAATATTTTCCGGCTTTAAATAATCTGTCAAAGGTTGATAGACCTTAAAAAATACAAATCAATCACTCAATGACTTCCAGAGAAAATGATTAACCAGAATAAATTTGTTTATAAATGCAACTAACAAAATAAATAAAGGGAAAGAAATGTTCATTGTTCAAATTAAGATGGACGAAAATTTAATGTCATTTATGATGTTCATTAATTTGATTGTGTAACTAGATATATTATTCATAAAGGCTTTTTTGGTTCGTCTTTGAAAGAATTCATTGTGGTTCATAGTGTTTCAGATAAAATACCAGAAAAATAATTTAATAATGAGAATTTGTTGTTTCAACAAACAATTACTCTTGCTACTTTTGTCCACTGATTAATTTCTCGTTTGGATTCGACAAAAGCAATGTGAAAAAACAAAAAAAGAAAACGTAATTATTTATGAAATGGACAAAGTCCGAAAATTATTTTACGACATTTTTTATGTTCATATGTTCTTTTTATAGATACAAATATTTAAGTAAATGCTCTGTGTATTATAAACAGTGTTAACGACATTTACCGGTCTGAATGTCCGAGAGATTTTCATAGAAAATATGCGTCCTCCGACAGGAATCGACCCTGTATCCTACACGGAACCGTCCGATAGCCTGACGTGTTTTACCGATTGAGCCACAGATGAGCGTTTCGCTTATCAACGTCGAGTTTACAGATTTAGCCTAAACGCTCCTCTGTGGCTAAATCGGTAAATGCACGTCAGGCTATATGACGTTTCCGTGTAGGATGTCAGAGGACGCATATTTTCTCTCGGACATTCAGGCCGGTAAATGTCATTAATACTGTTTATTATAAACAGAGAATTTACTTAAATAGTTTTTATCTATAAAAAGAACGATAAAATGTCTTAAAGTAATTATTTATGTTCACAAATAAATATCACCGCTACAACTACAACACGAATTCGGTTCTCTTCCAATCTTTGTGTAAATTATGAAAATACAAAAGGGATTCACTGATAAATGATCAAAATATATTTTTTATTATAAATCTCTGTCCGGAAAAAAAGCATCCAATGGATTTCTTACCTGCATAGGTAATAACGTACAATCTAATATTGTTATGTAAAAGTGATGTTTACAAAGAAGCGTAAAGTCTCTTCAAATTAGCATTTCTTTCTGAAGAATTACTTTTCAACATGTTTCAGTAACATACAAGCTTGTTTCCATGTTAAATTGCTCTTTGTCATGATTCAAGCACAAGTGAAAAGTGCACTCAAATAAGTGTTTCCGCTCTGAAAAAATACTTTTAAAATGTTTCAATAACTTACAAACCAATATTTTTATGTAAACTTAAAAGAATTAATGTTTACGGACATTTGAAATCCAATTGAAAAGTACCTTCCAAACTAGCATTTTCTGTCCGGGAATTCAGTTTTCAGCATGTTTCAGAAACTGACATGTTAATATTGACATGAAAAATTTGTGTTTGCAACCATTAAAAAACTAGTAACTTAAAATAGAACTTTACTCTGATACTATACTTTTCAACTTGTTTCAGTAACTTACAAATTTGTTCATGCATGTATCATTGCTAATTTTGTATACGTATGCAAAATTGCAAATATTTACGTATGCAAAATTGATGTGCATTTCAACTAGCATTAAACAAAAGTTTTTAATCTATTTCAGGAGCTTACAAGCCAATATTGTGTCAAATTGGTTTTTGCAAACTTTCAAAAACAAGTGAAAAAATCTGTTCAGAATAGGATTTTTGCTCTGTGATTATGATTTTCAAAGCGTTTCAGTAAAATACAAACTGTCATGTAAAGATCTGCAATCACTGAAGCTTTTACTATTTTAATTTAGGAAAACATCAAAAGCCGAAGGTGCCAGTCACGTTCGTAGTTTTGTGGCGAACTTCACCACATTAATTTAACATTAGATTAGGAAACAGGGCTGACGCAGAAAAGTATAAGCCAGAAACATTGTTACACATAAAATATGTATTTAACAAGATGTACAATATCAAACAACGATGTGGAAAATGCATGCATTTAAGTAAGAAAAGGTTGAATAAAACAAGAGTTGTCTTTCTTTAACTGTTATTTTAGTGTTTAAAGTTCACTGGAAGAATGTTCATGAGAGTTTTTGTAATGTTTATACTTGTAAGCTTTTGCTGTGTAAGAAAAGATTATGTGAGTATAAACAAGGTATGTTCAGCATGTGAGCGTTGTGTGTGTAAGAAGGTTGGCGCATGGTTTCAACTTTCGTGGGTCCGTTTGGCAGCTGAATTCTCACTAAAAAGGGTTAGAAAATTCTTGCTTAAATATGTGACTATAGGCTCCAGATCGCTGCGCGGGAAGAATTATTCTTCACGTGCGGACGATCTGATTGGTTTGCATAGACCAATCAGCGAGCGAGCTTTGGGGAGACTTAAGTGATCCGTTTCTCCCAAAAGTGCACAAAACTGGCTACATAAAGATAGAGCGATTACAAAATGGTCGCATTGCTGTGATTTGTAAATTGTCTATAATAACCTAGTGGTGATTAATTAACCAATGAATGCTTGGCGTTGTATGCGATTTGTACTTGTATATATGTATGTATGTATGTGCGTGATAGACTCGCACAGTTTGACTGACTCTCTTGTGAAATGTTAAATGTTTCCCAATAAGCTATGCACCGAGTGTAATGATTATCAGTTAGTTATATGCCATGCCTGATACACTTTCGATACATCAATGAAGAGGCAGATTGTTTACCGCAGTAGGTTGCCATTTTAATCTGCGATATCCAAGGCTATAGAAACCCGATCTGTCCTTCTATGGATTACATACCTTTTCCAAGGTTATAACACGTAAGTGAATGTAATGTATTCGACTGGAATTCGAACTCGGCTCTCTGATTCTTCAATCCGAGCCGCTATCCATTATTCTCCCGTGCCTTGGCATAATGATTGTACTTGTTTAAAACAATATCAGTAATGTTGATTATGATAATTATTATGATGTCAATTGTAAGCAATTCTGGTCCCACTATAAAATGCTAGAAGATCAAGCGACAGTTTTGAATAAAATAGTTGTTTAGATTATCACATCTTGTGTCGTGTTTATGTTGCTTTCGCTTTTCAGTGGCCCATCTCAGATACCGGATACGCCATTGCCCAGTGGAACAATGCTCACCAAGTCAATGTAACAGTGACAAAATGTATATTATTTTATCACGATATAGTATTTGTTCAGACGTCTGCTGAAAGATTTCCTCCTGATTATTCCATAACTTAGATCAAGGCAACGGGACCAATTTTTTTTTTGTTATCCAAATAGTTGGATAAGTTCTGGAAATAATACTTAAAGAAACTATGAAAGAAACAGAAACTATGAAAGAAACAGAATATTATTCTTGGAAATTTAAACGTAACTCTTCTTTGAGATGTTGCCATGATAATTAATGAAAAAAAGAATCATCGAATTGAGAACAAAATATTATTACTACTAATATTTGAACGATGTCTTCTCAGTTATCATTTATTCTATCAGAATTACAGTTGCGTTTTAATGTTACATAATTCTGAGACCAGGACCAGAATGCTCAGCAATTTTCCGGAGTGACTCGTGGCCGGAATATTCTTACAATGATGGATTGCCATTGTCTGGATTTCGAATATAAGTCCAAAAGGCGCATATTCAACAGAGGGTCTCAAGAACTCTGAAACATCGATATGCCTCCAACATCCAGGTTAGAAACCGACTGATACCACTCGTGGAGGAACGCTGAACCAACGAACGACATGCGTCCTGATCGCGTATTTCCTGCTATTGTCTCTTAGAATTGAAGCTGCCTGTTTTAATAAAATTAATACCAACAGCAAATACCGTTTTTATAAATAGCATGGGGATTGCGAGACGACACAGAACGCAGCATTATCACAGCCCTCAGAAATTAGAGTTGCTTAATATCCTGTCTTCTTAATAATAATATATAAAATAATAGTCAGAAAATTGCGTTAAAAAGCAAATTAAGATAAATATAAAAGAAATCAAAATACCAAAGATCGAAAATGTACATATGACTGTCCGTAAAAATATTCGGATTTACCGAAAGAAGCAGAACCTTACTCAAGATGGAAGTGGCATTTGTCTTTTGAATAGGATTAGAGTTTTACAAATTGTTTCCTGTTTAGGTCTAGGTTTCCTATTCATTCTAAAGTCTTTTGCTTCCAGTATCTTGTTATGTCTTAGTGGCGTTATTCAACTGCTTCGGGTGAATTTATTAAACAAACTTACTAGAATGTTTTGAACAACCTTGAAGGGTATTGCAAAATTAACGAAAATTGTAAATCAAAGATGGGTTTGAAATTATACAGGTAATACATTTATCAAAATCCATAAGAATGCAATATAATGTATAAAAGCAAACAAAAAACAACAACAACAAAACAAACAAACAAAAGAAAAAAAATTACGATCCCAGTTAATACAGACTACTCTTGCAACAAGACGTATACGTTGTATTTTGGTTGCGGCATATTTAACATTGTAGTGACGTTAATCTAACGTTGCAACCAACTGACAGCACATCGCCAACGTTGCCATGACGTTATGATTCTTTTTTAACTTATTCACCGCTTTGAAAATGAAAGCCATATTATAAATATTGATATTATTACTGAGGGCCTGGATGATCTTTTTCCTCTCCCCATTGCTCAGTTGGGAAGACATAGTGAGGCTAACACAAAACAATTTTTACCTGTTCTCTTTTCAGTGATTCTTACGATAAATGGTGTCAAGATGGCTAAACGTCTGAAAACGGGGAAAAATGAAAACGTTTTGTGCGTTGGATGCGACAAAATGATAGATCGAACATTAAATTTTAAAATATTTTCCTGGTTCAGCCAAAATATTTTCAGAAACCCAT